AAAAAAAAAAAAAAAAAAAAAAAAAAAAAAAAAAAAAAAAAAGAAGGAAAGAAAAGAAAGAAATACTATGTACCCGCGAAAGAACAGTCTCTCTTGAACGAACATTCGTCTTTCCGCATTTCTCTTTTTCTCCTTAAAATCGATCGTCGCCTCTCCTATTCCTATTGAGCGTTTGCGAGATACACCTGGGAAAATCCACATCCATAGATACAAATGATTACGCAACAAATTTATAGACACGTTGTTAAGAAAATTACAGTTTTAATTTAATTCAAAGTTCTTCCAAAAAAATTTCCAGAGCCTCGATCGAAGGATTTCGTTTCATGGATATTTCTTTCAATCTTTTTTTATTATTATTATTATTATTAATAGAATTCTTTCCCATAGGAAAAGATTGAATGTAAATTCAATCGTGAGAATGGATTGAAGCGGCGAAATAATAGTTTTAAACGAATGCGATACGACGAACGAAATTGATTTCGCCTTTCCAGTTAAACACGCGCGTAGAAATCTGATCGTTTTTCCCGCGGGACACCCGTTAGAATTTCAATCAGAGTGATGCGTCGATCTAAGACTGCCTTTCCAGGCAAACATCGCCGGTTACTGACAGAAGAGGTGTACTTGGCTAGTCAGATGCGCACACCAAGGATGCACGTAGGTGTACGTAAGCGCATTTTACCATAGACGACCAGGTGAGTGTGCATGCACCTTTCACTAGCGGAAGTGAACAGCTGAGACACAACGCGTGAGAGCGACCCGGGTCATCGATGCTTCTTTTTTTTTTTTTTTTTTTGCGTACTAGCCTTCTTCTATCGATCCACGTCCGTACACGATTTGGATTTATCGATCCCGGATAATCCATTCGGATACAATCTCTCAACAGTAATTATCTATCGTTGGTCGGCTACCTTTTCTTTCGATCGTTTCTCTCCAATTCCTAAAAAAATCTATCTACGTATTCTACGCGAGGGATTAACTCGTGTGGAGGAATAGGAAGCTTATACGTTCGATATATTTATTATTATTGTACGACGTGGAATAAAACCAATAATAATAAAACTTACATAACACGTCGATAGCGATGCTTGAAAATTATCGATAACGATTGTGCATAGAAATAATGATTATTAAGAGTTGTCGACGATTTAATTTATTAATAGGTTAGTTAGTTGCTGATAAAAGATGTGAAAAATTGAAAATCTACGATCCTCGCCTACTATGTAAGAAGTGTGCATAATCGCGGCGCACATAAATCATACGTGGCTGTGTTTGTATCAGATGCGATATATGCGATAAACCTAGTGCACGTGTCACATTTCCCCGTTGAATTACGGTTGAATAACGGAATAACGTTTGATGAATATTAACAAGGTTTTTGTTGCAATTTAACGCGAGACATTCTTGAATGACACGTATTCGTTCATAAAGCAGAGAGACGCCTTGAAGGCGTCTCTGAAACGAATCTTAGACGGCACAGAAACCTCCGGCGACACCTTTTCTTCAACTTCACCACTTCTTTTCTTATCACAACTTTCTACGCGATTTGCGCGAGAGTATAAACCATTACGTGAAACGATCCACCATTCGACTAGCGGGAAACCATCCTCGCCGATCATACACACTCTAATACATCGACAGGGGAATCGAGCGCTACCTTCTTCTCTCGTGAAGAAGACACGCGAAGATCACGAATATACCTCTCTCTCTCTCTCTTCGGTATCAAACGGTTATCCCAAATTGCATCGTGTATCCCGATTGATTACCAGCGCGGATCACCTCTCGTATTTCCTCGAATGAACCCGACAATTTTCGACGTTTCGCACGGCACACACGGGTCGAGCGAGCGGGTTTCTCGTCGTGATCTGCCCCCTTCCTTCACAGGAAGAAGGAAGTGCGCGAGGATCGATCTCGGTGTAAACGAGGTTCGGTGAGGCAAACGCGTGGGATGAGCGTGCTGGTGAAACTCGAGCGTCGTTTAAGCGACCTCTGCAAAGGTCGCTACTCCATGCCTTTTACGAAGAAAGCGGTACGATAAAGAGCGACCCTCTGATAATTGCATTCATTCTCCACGATCGTTACGTTTCTCAAAGATCGCTTTCTTACCTCGTATCTGCTGTTACTTACGAGCGACAATTATTCCTTCTTCGCTCTTCCTCCGGATTAATCCGGATAATTGACAATCGTTTATCGAGTCGAATGGTTGATCACGCGTGGTTACGCGATTTAACGTTTACGTAAAGAAAGAAAGAAGTAAGAGATAAATTAAGCGTGTGCAAATGACGTGACGCGAAGGTGGTAAAAGTATGTATAGCGGGCATGAAAGATGGCAAAGGAGGCATTTTAATGGACGTTACGCCGTGCCAAATAAGCATTTTGAGCCGGAAAGGAAAGCGGCGAGATTAAAACGGTGCCAAGCTGATTAGAAAGAAGCGAAAGGAGCGAAACAACAAATTCCCCCTACGTGTTTAAACACTTTGAGCCGCGTAGCAGGGACAATAATGAATTCCTTAAATTCGCGAAACAGTGTCAAAAATCTCGTGAAATTAACGGTATCGCACAATCCAACGATCGAGCGTTATAAAGGCTGTAGTAAAAGCGGAGGAATGAAATTCTTGAATAAATTTCTCGAATAAGTTAATTAGTAACACCTCTCTCTTTCCTTCTTAAAAGGCAAATTTACAATTATAATTTTATACTTGGTGCCACGATAAGATTTAAAATATGACGAAATTTATTGATTTTAACAGAAATAATAGTATTATATTTCTTGAGAAACATCGAATTCGATTATCGTTATCCATCATTTCGATCGATCTTTTAATCATCGATGATAAAAATCTATTATTTATAGTCTTTAACCGTTTTCTAACACGAAACAGTACTTTCAAGAGGTGTTCTTCTTCGTTTCTTTTTAATTCCTCCTCTTAATTACGATTCTAAATTACTTCAAAAAAAAAAAAGTATCAATTAAACATTATATAAGACGATAATTTTTCAAGCCTGTTTAGTAACAAAATTGAGGAAACTTTGC